AAAAAAAAAAAGGTTAGAGTGGGAGAGAGCCAAAGCATAAGAGACTGTTGAGAACTGAGAGCAAACTGAGGGTTGATGGGGGGTGGGAGGGAGGAGAGGGTGGGTGATGGGTATTGAGGAGGGCACGTTTTGGGATGAGCACTGGGTGTTGTATGGAAACCAATTTGACAATAAATTTCATATATTAAAAAAAATAAAGTTATTAAATTTAATTTTATATAAATTTCCAGAAGAAAAAGAAAATGAAGTGAAAGTGGAGTATTTTCTGGCCTTCAGATAAATATTTCTTTATCACAAGGAATCACAGTTTTTTGAATAATAACCTACTGTTAAGAAAAAGAATTATGAAAAACCTTGAGATGTGGTAGTTTATGTTTTAAAAACCTAAATGTTTCAAGTTTTGACTGTATTAATTGGCTTGGTTAATTGTGAGCGATTTTTACCTCCTGTCACCTGCCTTTCTCCTCTTTCCTATTCTTTCCAATGAAAGGGCGAGGTAATGTTGTCTACAGATTTGGATAATAGCATGTGTGTATATACACATCTATGTTGTTTTGTTATATATGCTGTTATCTGAATCTGTACACATTATTCTTTTTCTATTTTTATGTATAATTATGTGTTAAGATTTTTTAATATTTACATTCTATTGGCAAATATAATTCTCATAATTGTTAGCCTTTTTTGAATTCTTTTGAGTTCATATTTTAGGTTTATATGTTTGAATGATAGCTTCACGGATGCCATATTCTCTGAGGTCTGTGACATTTGAGACCATCTGCTGCTTGAAGGACCCTGGCGAGGCACTATGTTCTTGATCACACTTTCCTTCAAATGCTGCTGTTGCTGTCAGCTGGCCTTGAATTTTGGGTAGCAAAACTTGAATCTGACTTTGTGCCTTGAGAAAATATTCTTTTTCTTCTTCAAGGTTTGGAAAATTCTTTAACTCTTAAGTTTAGTCATTTCTTTCAAGTTTATTTATTTATTTTGAGAGAGAGCAAAAGCAGGGGAGGGGCAGGGAGAGAGGGGGAGGGAGAGGGAGACAGAGAGAGAGAGAGAGAGAGAGAGAGAGAGAGAGAGAGAGAATCCCAAGCAGGCTCTGCAGGGTCAGCGCAGAGCTGGACATGGGGCTTGAACTCACGAAACTGTGAGATCATGACCTGAGCCAAAATTGAAAGTCAGACGCTTAACTGACTTAGCCACCCAGGAGCCCCTAAGTTTAGTAATTTAGTTGAGATATGTCATTTTATATTGATTTTTTTTCTGGTTATATGATGGACCCTTTCTTGGTATCTAGCTAGTTTTTAATTCTGGGGAGTTTTCTTTGTTGTATATCTCTGAACACCTTCTCTAGTCCATTTATTTGTTTCTCGCCAAAGGTTTATCAACTATCTTCCTACCTTTAAACCTCTCGTTAGTAACTTTAATCCTTCTATCACTTTTCTGCACTTTCAGTAGGATTATTTTAAGTCTTTTCACCCAGTTAGTAACTTGATTTTGAGCTGTTTCTTCATGTTTGTAATTTATGTGTTAGATTTGCAAAAGGATTGTTATTAGGGATGTTTGTCTGACTTCCTACAAATCTAACTTAAAGCAGGCTGGCTTTCTGGGTGGTTTATTGTAGATAAGGGGTTGGTTTCCCGGTCAGGTTTCTGCAGTTTGTGGGTCAGAGTTCTATTATTTTTTTATTTTGAGAGACAGAGAGTGAGTAAGTGAGACAGAGAGAGAAAGAGAGAGAGCCAGAGTGCATGAGTGGGGGAGAGGGGCAGAGGGAAAGAGAGAATCTTAAGCAGGCTCCATGCTCAGGATAGAGCCTGACATGGGGCTCAATCCCATGACCCTGAGATCATGACCTAAGCGGAAACCAAGAGTTGGATGCTCAACCGACTGAGCCACCCAGGCACCCCCAGAGTTCTGTTTTTATAGATGGTCTGGCCATTGTCTGGATGAAGGTAGAAACTGCCAGTCTTTTTAAAGACTAGGCCTGGAAATGGCATAAGTCACTTCCACTTTAACTCTGTTGGCCTGAGCAGTCACAGGACAGCCCAGACCAAGAATAGGGGAAATAGACTTCACCTGTTGATACCAGGAGTGTTAAAGAGTTTGTAGCCATTTCAGATCTGCCACAGGGTGCATGTATTTTACCCCTGGAAACATAGTTCTCTTCTTATTCTTTAGAATTCTTCATGAAGGATTTAATGTGAAAATTGACTTACCTCTCATAGCTGACACATTATGAACTCTGTTCCAGGAAGATAGATACCCAAGGATACACACAAGAGAAATGCATACTCCTCAAGGTTCAGCCTCATATCCTGTCTGCTGTCTTATCCAGATGACCTCTGTGACCAAGGAGAACTTCATGAATTTCTTTTAGCCATTTAGTTTGAGACCTGGAAGAGTGGCTAGTCCAGCAGCTTGTTTTAGGTTTCCTGCTTCCAATCCCACTCTGATTCCCTCTTGGCATTTTATACTACCAGACATCTCAGAATGTATGAGAGATCCAGTGATAAAAAGAGAATTTTAAGCCTTTTTATACCATCATGGAAAGGCCCACCTCCTGTTCCTTTTGGTACCAGTTTTTTCTTGAATTATTTCAGGTTTACCTGTGACTGTGGAGTGAAATGGGGGTTGGTAGTGGTAAGGGGAGCTTCACTGTACTTTAGGCATCAGGGGCGCCTAAAGGGATCAGGTCAGAGATGGAGTTAGGCAGGTAGATGATCTAAATAAGTGAGGCTGCCTTCAGTTAGAGGGCATGTATCAGTCTAGCCAGTGGGTGGCAATCTTACTTCTCAAGTATTGCTGATTGTTACCAGAAGATGCTAATCCACAGATGCCTTAACTTAGAATTTTGAAGAGAAGTCCTTTCTCTGAAGCTGTGTTTTTATGTGGAATCACCTAAAACAAACTCAGATTCAGAATACTTGGGTTAACATGGTGCAAGCCAAGTAAAACTCATCTGTAGGCTAGATTTGGCCCTCAGGTGATTAGTGTATCATCTCTGGTTGGCATGTGATTCAATGGTAAAATTCTTAGAGAGTGCATTCATTTATAAAAGCATTGCTTTTCCACCTCAGACATGCTCTGTTTACTTAGAAGTCCAATCCAGAAATCTGGCAGATTACCCAAGACTCTTTCTGCCTGCACGATCACCACCTTCTATCTGTCCCTGCATCATATCCATGTTATCTGTCATGTCTTTGACACTCTACACTGCTTTGCTCTTACTGATTAGATATTGCAGCAGTCTCCCAGCTAGTCATCTTGCCACAAATGTCACCCCCTTCCTGTCTTGCCACCAAAATAACCTCTTAAAATACAGATCTAGGGGTGCCTTGGTGGCTCGGCCGGTTAAACATCTGACTTTGGCTCAGGTCATGATCTTGTGGTTTGTGAGCTTGGGCCCCGCGTAGGGCTCTGTGCTGACAGCTCAGTGTGTCTCTCTGCCCCTCCCCCACCTGCTCACGTGCGCGTTCTCTCTGTCAAAAATAAACATTAAAAAAAATAAAATGCAGATCTAATTATGTGACTTCTCTGTTTAAAACCCTTTGTTGGTTCTTCCTGTCAGAAGATAAGAGGAGTTAAGGTGGCAGAGTGGTGGGGAGATCCTATGCTTGCCTCATCCCTTGAGACAGCTAGATAAATATCAAATCATTCTGAACACCCAAGAAATTGATCTTAGGACTGAGAGAGCAAAACTGCACATCTAGAGGTATAAAAATGGTCACATTGGGGAAGGTAGGAGCTGCGGAGATGTGATTTGGGGGAGAAGAGAATCTTGGATGCTGCAGAGAGCAGGGAGCCCTGATCACAGAGAGGGGTGTAGAGAGAGAGCAGCACACAGGAGACTGCACAAGAGAAACACTTTCCCAGAATCATTGACTGGGAGAGTGAGAGGGGCTGATTATTGTGAGTTTTTACAACCAGTGGAGCTCAAAGGCTGGGGTTTTAGAAGTCCATGTCATGGAGGGTGTGGAACCCAGCAGGCACAGTGGTGCTCCCATGGAGGCGGGCGGAGGCCCTGGAGCACACAGCATGGTCTGAGGAACCTCTGAGTTGCACTGGGAGAGAAGGTTCCTCTTCTTGGAGTGCATTCGGGAGAGGTGGCACTGTCTCTCAGGGACAGAAGAGCCAGGGGATGCCATTGTGCTGTCCTGTTCATTAGCATAGGGGCAGAGACACCTGCTGAGGGCTGCTAACCTGGACACTGGTGCTTTGCTGTGTTTTACTCTAAACTCCAAGCCCCTGTGTGTTTGTGCAACTGCCCTTCTGGGACAAATGGGCACCAGCCACAGCCCAGTGAGACCCTTCTCATGAGGATCATCGAGGGTCCATGGTGCACTGGATACCTAAAATTTGGAGTTTCGAAACTCAGCTGGTGTACCTGAGAGAAAACACAGGTGCACTGTGCTGCAGGGCAAGCAGACAGCCCCATCACAGACAGGATTGAGGCAGGGATATGAGGGAGGCCAGCACAGACAGGATCAAGGCAGGGATATGAGGGAGGCCAGTGCAGACAGGATCGAGGCAGAGATAGGAGGGAGGCCAGCATAGATAGGATCGAGGCAGAGATATGAGGGAGGCCAGCGCAGACAGGATTGAGGCAGGGGTATGAGGGAGGCCAGTGTAGACAGGATCAAGGCAGGGGTATGAGGGAGGCCAGCACAGACAGGATCGAGGCAGGGATATGAGGGAGGCCTGGGACAATGAGAGGAGATTGTTCACTCTCGTGTGAGAGCTTCCCAGACAGTAGCAGTTGTGAACTCCCCTCTCTACAGATGAGGAGGTGCTGGTGCCACTTTTCCTTCCCTCCCAGACTAACTTTTGTGAGCAGCATGGGGCCCACAGTGGAGGCTTGAGCCTCTTACATCAAGGTCCCCTCTCCTGCACTCTGCAGATACTAATGAACTAGGGCAGGTGTGTCTGAGAGCCAGAGAGGCAGTGAGTCCCTCCCTCAGAAGGCCAGCACGGACCACACACACCAAGTCTACTGACCATAGAGTGCTAAAAAACTTCAGTTCTAGTGAAAATAAGATCAGGCCTCTTTTAACAAGCAGACCAGAGCACACCTAGTTAAAACTCGCCACACACTAGACAAAGTCCAAACATTCTCCACGACAGGCAAAGAGAAGCTCTGCAGAGGACTGACCTGAGGGAAAGAACAGCCAAAACACAGCAGCAGAGTGCACACAGCACACACCAAAAACATTTCCTGAAGCACCAGCACTCTCAGGAGCAGGAAACATAGCTACTGTCGAAAGAACAGAAGATAACAAATGTGGGTGAGGATGTGGAGAAATTGGGACCTTTGTGCACTATTGGTGGGAATGTAAAATCATACAGCTGCTGTGGAAAATAGTATTGTGGTTCCTTAGAAAATTAGAAATAAAATTGCTATATGATCTAGCAATTCTACTTCTAGATATGTAGCCCAAAGAATCAAATCAGGATCTGACAGAGGTATTTGCACACCCATGTTCATAGCAGCATTATTGTAAATAGTCAAAAGGTAGAAGCGAACTAAATATCCATAGAGGAATGAATAAACAAAATGTGGTATATACAAAGAATGGAGTATTATTTAGCCTTAAAAAGGGAGGAGATTCTGATACTTGCTACAATATGGATGAACCTTGAGGACAGTGTGATAAGTGAAATGAGCCAGTCACAAAAAGACAAATACTCTATGATTCTATATGAGGTATCTTAAATAGTTAAATTAATAAAAACAGAAGGTAGAATGGTGATTGCTAGGTGCCAGGGGGAGGGGGAAATAGGGAGTTATTGTTTAATGAGTATAAAGCTTCAGTTTTGCAAGATGAAAAAGTCCTGGAGATTGGTTGCACAACAATGTGAATACACTGTATACTACTGAACTGTGTCCTCAGAAATGGATAAAATGATAAATTTTATGTGTTTTTACTATAATTAAAAAACATCAGTCTTCTTACTGTGACTTCCAAGATGCTACATGATCTGATCCCTGCTTAATTCTCAAAAATTATCTCTTGCAAACTGTTTTCCCAACCTCCACCCCTGCAACCCCTACACCCCAGGGCACTTAGGGTTGGGAAAAACTTAAGGGATTTGGTTAGAAAATAATTTTTGGCTTTCTTATAGGAATAGTGAGGCTAGTTCATTACTTCAAACTTCCTTTTTTATATCTAATTCCTTAAAAACCATTTACACCTAAGCCTTCCAACAGAGTTTGTATCATCACCTCGCTATAGCTGTTTCCAAGTCAAATGTCAAGTTACTAATTCAGTGAACATATTTCATTCCTCATTTTATTTGACCATTCTAGGGTACTTGAACTGTTGAAATGTTGATAACACTCTCTCCTTTTCATTGAAAAGTACATAGAAATCAGAATCAGGTTTCATATCTTGCTTCTACCGCCTATTTGTATGTGACTGTGGGTGGCTAATGGTAGGTTTTCTCGATATTCTATCCTTGGTTCTCACTCTTCACCCTCCCATTTCAATCATTCCTATAGCCTCATCCATAATGGCAAACATTTATTGAATGCTTATTATGAGCTAGGTACCATCTTAAGTATTACTCATGTATCACCTCAATTTTCACAACCATGTTAAGGTAGGTACTTTATTATCTATAATTTTTAGGTGAGGATACCAAGGCATAGAGATCTTGAGTAGTTGCTCAAAGTGCACAGAATATTAATGACAAAGCTGAGACTCTCCCTAGACAGCATTTGGCTCCAAAGTCTGTATTTTAAACAGTTCAGTAAACTACTTCTGTGTGAATTGCTCTGATATGAGCTCTTGTTTGATGTATAGACACACATATCCATTTGTTCAGGAAAGCTCTGCCTGACTCTCTCTTGGGACTCTCAAGCTCACAGTGTCCAAAATGGATCTTACCGTTTTTCCTTCTCTAATCTTACTCTTTACCTCATTGAATGACCTCATCCTTCATCCAGTTGCTGAAGGTAGAATCCTAGGAATAACCTTAGATTCCTTCCCCTTCTCTACCTCCAGATTCAATTGATGACCAAATTCGGTTGACTTCATTGTTCGTATGTTACTGTCATGAAGAGTGGTTCACACTCTTGTATTTCTCCCTTGCACCATTGCCCTCTCACAGACAGGCCTCTTTACCTCTCGTCTTCTCTAGGATAGAGAAGGTCCATACCATTTGATGTAGACATTTGATTAAGGAATTTCTCTGCTCACAATTCTTCTGTAGCTTATCTACTGGGTAAAATCTAAATAACCATTTGTAGTGAGAATTATAGAACAGTGTTTTTAAAACTATTTAGGTGTGAAAGATCAGGATTTACCTTTCTTAAGGGACTGAGACTTTCTTAAAAATGGTCATTATTGACAATAGCTGAGATATGGAAGCAGCCCAAGTATCCATTGATAGATGAATGGATAAAAAAAGATGTGACACATACATACACACACACACACACACACACACACACATATACGTACACACACATACCTACAATGGAATATAACTCAGCCATGAAAAAGAATGAGATCTCGCCATTTGTAACAACATAGATGGACCTAGAGGGTATAGTGTTAAGTGAAATGAGTCTAACAGAGAAAAACAAATACCCTAAGATTTCACTCCCATGTGTATTTAAGGAACAAATGACCAAGGAAAAAAAGATACCAAAAAAATTGCCCTTAAATACAGAGAATCTAAAAACACAAAACTTGTAGATATAGAGAACAGAATGGTGGTTGCCAGGGGGAGGGGTGTTGAGAGTAGGTAAAATGGATGAAGGGGCTCAAGAGGTATGAATTTCTAGTTATAGAATAAATAAGTCATGGGGATGTAATGTACAGCATGGTGACATAGTCAGTATTGTAGTGCATACTGAAAGTTGCCAAAAGAGTAAATCTTTAAAAAGTTTTCATTGTAGGGGCACTTGGGTGGCTCAGTTGGTTAAACTTCTGACTTTGGCTCAGGTCACAATCTCATGGTTTGTGAGTTCAAGCCCTGCATCAGGCTCTCTGCTGTCAGCACAGAACCTGCTTCAGATCCTCTGTCCCCTTCTTTCTCTGGCCCTCCTCACTGGTTCTCTCTCTGTCTCTCTGTCTCTAATAAATAAACTTAAAAAATGTTTTCATTGTCATAAGGAAAAAAAATTATAACTTTGTATGGTGACAGATGGTACTAGATTTATTGTAGTGATCATTTCATGGTGTACACAAATATCAAATCATTATGTTGTGCATCTGAAATGAGTATAATGTTACATGTCTAGTAGACAACTAAAAAAATTAAGGAGAAAAAATAAAATGTTTCCAGAAAGTCATCACTTAAAAAAAAACCAGAAAAAAAATATAGAGGACAAACTAGTAGTTGCCAGAGAGGAGGTGGGTAGGGGATTGAGTGAAATACATATGGGAGATTGAGGGTTCACTTATCTCAATGAGCAGTGAGAAATATGTAGAATTGTTGAACCATTATAGTGTACACCTGAAAGTAATATAAGACCACAAGTTTATTATTCTTCAATAAAAAAATAAAAGTGAATATTGCACCACTGCTAAATTGTTATAAAAAGTTTCTAAATCTTCACCTTTAATTTCTGTGCTTACCTTGCTCTGCACCAAGAACAGTGTGCAGACCAACAATGGAAGGCAGGCCCATACTTTAAGAAGACTTGTCACATGAGACTGGCTGTGAAGTCTGATTGTGAATAATAAGCCTGTGTTGGTCTCTTTCACTTCCCTATTCTACTGCTCTGTATCCCTCTGTCCATCAGATAAACTTGCCATGGATTGGTATACTTTGGAGGAAGTTTATGTGCAGGTAAGAGCGAGCTAGGAAAATGTCTGCACCTTAAGAGTGTCCCAGTGAAAGAAAAACTCAGACATTTAGTTATTTTGCATGAAGATCGTTGATTGACATGTGAGGGAGTTGGCTGATTGAGTTAAGGAACAGTCAAAAACACGTTTCATAAGGGAAAGAGAGGACAGAAAATTGTAACTGGGATTTGCCCAGTGAATCTTGCTTGTATCTTTTTGACTAAACCATTTTCTCTCAGCTAGCAAAGAGGAGTGTCTGGTGATTCCCTTGTTGAGTGGACAGAGCTATGAAAGAAAACAATTTCAGTTGTCTATGGGTTCTTCTGAAAGTGCTGAGAGATATACATACCTGGCTATCTCTGTTGTAATGACTGTCCATCATTCCATCAGTACCTCCACCTTAGTTAGGCTAGGTCTGCACTGTTTCCCTCATTGTAATTTCTAGTTCTTCAGCCTGTTAGTTAGGCCTGACTCCTCTAGGGAAGGGCCTCAGAAGCTGAACTAGCTGGTTATGACACTGGAGGCAAGGTGGCAAATTGTGCCACAGAAATGGAGAGAGGAATTGTTTTCACATTCCTGATGGTGCAATTCAGTGAGGCCTGCACAGCTGGTACCTTCTATAGGTTTTGCAGCTTTGGTAGGGGTACCTGGGGACAGCACTTCAAGCAGGGAAGGAGGAAGCCAGTAGGGGGTAGTGCCCCCTTCGAGTGGCTTGTGGAGAGCAAGCATAGACAGAATATTGTTTGAGAACACTTAGAAAAAAATGAGCTTGTTTGTTGCTTTTCATTAAATACCTGTCCACATTGGGGATCATTTAAACCTTGGCCGTTAATTTCACTTTATCTTGATCTGTTCAAGTAAAAGTGAAGGAGAGATAGCTTTTGTAAGTACTTTTATAAAACTCAGAATTAGGAGACTTGAGGACTAATTGCTGTTTTGGTATGGATTATTTGTGTGACACATGCATCTGCAGAATGGGAGCACTGGCTTAGATATTCTCTAATGTGCATTCTGGTCTGATGTTATGGAGAGGGAAAACTTGGGTATGGTTCTCACAGAGGGATATTGCTTCTAATGGTAGAACTTGTACACATTTGTACTGTTCTTTCTTTATTTCTTCACGTGCCAGCATCAACTCTTTGTGTTTTCTTTCTAGGGCGGAGAGGGCATTTTCTTTGTTGCTTTTCCTTTGTCAAAATATTTCAGCAAAAAAGTCTCTGCTTTCATTAATCTCCATTGGAAAACAGCTCCTACTGTCTTTGGAAGAAGGACCTGTGGTTAGTAATTTCTGTGTACTAATCTTGGTTTGACTTGGCTAATACCCACTTGGGTTGATGTTTGGGTAATAATTATGGTGTGATTCACGATTAAGCTAAGCCTTTTTTCAACCTGAAGGTGATTGTGTGGGACAATGATTATGTTAAGTTCTTTTTTCCTTGGGCTCCTTATTACTTTTGCATGGTGTATAATTGCCATTTGGTCATATATCTTTTTAGTGATATAAGAAAAAGACGTAATTTTGGCTATGGGGAAGTAAGTTTTCTGGGATCTATGACAAATAAGCATAGAAGAGACACATTATGACATATGCCCAAATGTTTATTTTGAATCTTTATGCAATTCACTTTTTCGATTTTAATGAAGCCAGAATAATATAGAATTCCATTACAAGGATAGTCCAGAAAGATGTACTGAGCCCTGATAATAACATTGGAGGTTTGGCCACTAGAACAGTGATTTTATAATTTTTTCCACTAGAACAGTGATTTTATAATATTTTTCACAAAGATCAGTGCACAAATCTACAAAGGTCCTAAAATTTATTTTTTTTTTTTAATTTTTTTTTTCAACGTTTATTTATTTTTGGGACAGAGAGAGACAGAGCATGAACGGGCGAGGGGCAGAGAGAGAGGGAGACACAGAATCAGAAACAGGCTCCAGGCTCTGAGCCATCAGCCCAGAGCCCGACGCGGGGCTCGAACTCACGGACCGCGAGATCGTGACCTGGCTGAAGTCGGACGCTTAACCGACTGCGCCACCCAGGCGCCCCTGAAGGTCCTAAAATTTAAGCTCACAAAAGAAAAATGCTTACTTCAACCCCAACACCCAAAATACTGTGTTTTCCAAATTTAGGTCTAAATAACATTGTTTATTCCCATTCACCATTTCCAAACAAAGGCATAAATCTTCTAGAGAATAAACTAAACTATGCCCAAGGGAAGAAATTGTGTAACTTATTCAAAATAAAATGGTAACGTAAACCCTTTGGAAGTATAATGAGAAATTTCTTGATGCAAAGTTATGTCTTGTTTCACTTACCTACTCTCAGTATTAATTATTTTTCTGTTGGGTTCTCACTCATAATAATAATATCTTTCTAACTGACCAAATCCCAACTGTTTTGAATTATCACTTGAATGACCGTATGTTCCTGACTGCATATTACTGTCTGATATATTGGATGTTATAAATTCATCTCCAGAGTGAGGTCTGTCACTGAATGCCATATTGGTGCAATCATAATTTACACGACCATACTGAGACTGTCCAAAATCTGAATCAGACTTCGCGCAATTTTCTCTCTGCCCTAGAGGAGACACTGATTTCTGGTAGAAATAAGACCCTGAGTTTTCAGAACTGCCACGTACATTGTCATGTTGTCTCCTTTGACTGGAACTGGGCCGTTCCAAGACTGACCCTGACTGAGTATCTGAGTCTTCTGATT